ATAACTGTTAAATTAAACAATGGATAACTCCTACCTCTTAAATGATTTATATAATTAGTAAATAATTATTATTATGTAATGATTGTTGTTTTGTGACATATATAGTATAACCAATATATACATTATACTTTTATAATCAATATGATACTAAGCATTAGTCGTTTTTATGTTCTTGTGATTTGAATTTCTTCATGCAATATTTGTAAATCGCCAGTAGGATTAAATGTTTCTTATATAGATACATTATGAGTCAACTGGCTAGGCTTCGATTCCCCGGTTGAACGTGACAAGCCTGTCCAACCCCGTGGGTTATCTCCGGTTTCCTCCAACTGCTAAAGATCCCTACGCGCAAGCGAATTATTGAAATAAAAAAAAGTAAACCATATGTTTGTCTCGAAATGATCTCTAAACATGCTCGTACAGCGGCGCTAGTCTTCTTTTATATAGAATTCCAACCGCCAAGGGATCTTTTACGGTCACACCAATGTGTACACGAGACTTCGGAATCGCGTTCATGTCAGCTACTCAAATATGTAACTGGTTCAAAAATTGATTGAATATTCAATGAAATATCGCCAATTTTCTGGTTTCGTGCACGTTAAAGATTTGACGTCACTAATTAAAATTTAATATTAATTACAGATAGAGTCCATGCTCAAACAACGTCATGCCTTTTATCACAGGTGCAATATTCGATACCACTGTACGATACTACTGCAATCGCTTAATTAATTGGACTTTCTTATAAACAGCGCGAGCCGTCGATTTCTGTCCAGATGATTACCGGTATAAGATATCTTTGACACAGAAGCAACAATATTAATTCAAAGGCTAATTATTACACACAGCAATAAACTATTTCTGTTACAGGGTCACTAAACCCATATTTTGGAAAGAAGAAAACACTCATAGTGGAAATAATTTCAGTTCAAATATCATCAATCTTGAATAGGCTCTATACGTTGACAAAACGTACAGATTGCATCCCCCACTTATGTTTCGCTTAACAATGAAAGGTGTCGTGTTCAATTTTCGGTCCCTTTGTTCTGCTACTCTTGAAATTTGGGACTATTGTACAATCGTTTTATGTATAACACTACCGATAGGCCTCTCTGTAGAAGAAGTTCCAAAAAAGAATTATATTGTCTTTTCGAGAAATAGGCCTCTAAAAATGCTCCAAATCGTAAAAATACAACGTTTTCGATTTTCGATCTCTTTTTTCGGCTACCCCTGATATTCAAAAAATGATACAGTGGTTTCACAAAACAGAGTAGCCATTAGCCTCTCGATTGAGAAAGTTTTTAAAAAATCGTTGGGAGGCTTTCCGAGAAACATGCTTCCAAAATTGCTCGAAATCGTAAAAAACGTTATTTTTCAAAGTCACATAACTTTTTAAATTTTTGATAGAAACATGCCGCTTTAGTACAATCCGATAGACAATTCAATTGGCTATTAAACGATATAAAACTTTAACTAATCGCATACTCTCAAAGCATGCCAAGTGTCCATGACTATTTATCCTATCACAACCTGCATAGGTATTTCCATTTCAATATCCCCTACTTTTTTTGAAGAGTATATATTAAAGCTGAAATTCCAAGATTTGAATTTGTTGAAGGTACCATTAGAAGATTCTTATCACATGATCTTAAAGAGCGAGACAGTCAGAAATTCTTTTAAGAAACCTTAAAGTATCATTATTATAACATAAAATATCAACAGATTATATAAAATATTAACAGATTATAAATTATCAACAGATTATATAAAATATTAACAGATTATAAATTATCAACAGATTATAAAATATCAACAGATTATATAAAATATCAACAGATTATAGAGAGAGAGAGAAATGGGGTTTAACGTCCACTCGACACAAAACTAGGTAATTTCGGGACTAACATATGGTTTAATTTTATTTCAATAATTCGCTTGCGCGTAGGGGTCTTTAGCAGTGGGAGGAAACCGGAGGACCCGGAGAAAACCCACGAGGCACAGGCGACCCTACTCCTTGCCACGTACAACCGGGGATTCGAAACCACGCCAGTCGACTCAATGACAGACTTTATGATACAGCGCGCGCACGCTAACCATTCAGCCATCCCCCCCCCCCCCCCAACAGATTATATAAAATACCAACAGATTATAAAATATCAACAGATTATATAAAATATCAACAGATTACATAAAACATCAACAAATTATATAAAATATCAGACAATACATGAAACCCAAAATGCTCTTCGGGAAAAAAATTAGCGGTCACCGATTTGACATAGTCACGAAAAATGACAAACCGGTCTCAATTCACCCCAACCAACCAAATCAAGACATTTCTGATCTCATTGTCACGCCAATAGAACAGACTAAGAGCGATATTGAAACTACAAATGAAATTAAAGTGTTTAGTCTAACAAGAGAAAAGATTTGGATTGACAAATTGAAAAACACTGTCCCACCAGGTTTGGATATTCATACGGCTAGCGCAATAGCCCCTTTTGTAGTTCCATATAGCGCAACAGCAGCAAGTGCATCTAAAATCATCAAAAAACACTATACTGTTCCCCAGGAAAATCACCCGAAATTTTCACGCAGAAACTTATAATTGCATATTCTAAAAATAAAAATCTGAACAACTTAGTGCACAGTAATTTGGACTAAATAACACTAGTCCTCTTCCTAAGCGTGTCACGAAATTTTGAACGGCACACTAAGAAAATGTGAAAAAAACACGTGATCCCAGCTGAGTATTCACTGGTGTCTAGGACTAATCTCTGTCTACGGTTATATTTTGTCTGACTTACCATCTTTTTATTTTGCAAAATTCAAATATTTTTCATATTATATATTTAGCCAGGTGTACCGTTATTTTTTCATTTGTTCCAAGTTGTGCTGTTGGCAAAAAAAGGGATGAGAACCACTGCCCTGAAAATCCAATCCTTAGTAGGAAACACAATAATGTGGCTCTCAGCCGAGAGCCTCAAATTTATTCTTTTTTCTTCAGAAACAAAAATACCAGAATACCACAAGCGACAGCTAAGGAAGATCATCAGCGTCAGCGAAATCAACTTTGTATATAAATCTAATGTATTATATTATGTATTTTTAATAAAACTAGGAAATATCACGAACCAAATTTTCATCATCCTAGGTCAGTGCTTATGTGACGACTCAACCTCTCCCCCACATTTTTATACCTACAAGCCCGCCAACAAACACGTGCCCAAACTTTATTTACATCTCCGCGACCTTGACAAAATGATGAAAATTGAGCTAGCCTTATCAAATAGATTTAGCCCTGCAGACACATAATCATTGTAAACCGGAAATAGTCAAAACAAGTCCGTGCCAGACATAATCTTTGATTAACCTCTTTTTTAATACGACTGAATTCAAGCCAGGAGATTATCTATTTTAAGAGGGTTTTTTTATAATTAAGCGAGCAATAACCAATTTGAGTGCATTAGAGTGAATTAAAATGTGAAAAAATAGATATTTTCTAAAAAAAAAAAATGCAAATGGCGATTTAACGCATTAAACTGGATTAAGTTGAAGTTCACAAACACTTGGCTGTGCTCTTGATTCCTGTTCAGAATGGCTCATCGATAATAAACTGTCGCTCCATCTCGGTTAAACCGAGTGTATTCTCTTCGGGCCTAAATGTAAACTAAGAAGTATTAAAGAGTTTACAATAACCTGCAATAACCATACCGTAAAAGCAACAGATAACCTTAAATATTTGGGTCTACGTTTTGACAAATACTTGTCTGGTGAGGACACTGTTAACAGCATTATTAAGAAAGCAAATTCAAGATTGAAGTTTTTCTGTTTCGCTATAATAAATGCCTTAGCAAAAAAACCAAAAATTTATATTGTTCTGCACTTATTCAGTGCCACTTTGATTATGCATGCTCAGCCTGGTATTCTGGTGTGAATCAATCACTTAAAAATAAATTGTTCAAAATAAGGTTCTTAGATTTGTGAATGGGCTAGGACGTAGAGATCATGTTTCATATTCTGATTTGAATATACTTAATGTTGAAAACCGAGTTAAAACTCAATCACGTACATAAGATTTTTCATAATAATTGTCCATCATACCTTAAATCAAAATTCAAATGTGTTAGAGATACTTATCAATATGGCACAAGATCTAGTTTATTCAATTTTGCGGTTCCAAAATGCTCGGTTCGAGATCAGCTCACATCATTTTATTATACCGCCATAAGTGTCTGGAACGATTTACCGAATGATATTAAGTCTTTAGATTCACTTTACAGCTTTAAAGCTGCAGCCAAGAAGTATTTATTGTTAATACAATGTTAATCTGTGATACTACAAGTTTGATAATCTACTATTAATAAAATTGGTTGATGTATAACATGTAGACATAAATATATTTTATTATTTGTGATACAATGCTGTGATGGCATGTTTATTAAATTTTGCCTCCCAATGATGACCTGACGCGACCTTGGCAACTTTGGACCCCATTGGAAATAAGCAACGGATGTTATATACGTCAGGCTTTATGGGCTATCCTAAGTAAAGGTCTCTTCATGACACCATAGCTATCATATTTCTCTATGCTTGTCTCATATGGCATCCCACATTACAATGTAGCACATAGTTCTTATTTTCATATACATATCTGTATTTATTGTTGTCACTTTCCCAGTCGTGTAATGCGACACTAGTTCTTATTATAATACATTAATTTATTGTCATGTTGTAACCTTTACTTGAAGAATAAATAAATAAATAAATAGTCAACATTAAGCAAAATCTGATTAATGGCGACATCCGATGATCTAGAGGGTTGTTTATAAGTTTGACATGTAAATAAATGTCTATATAATAGTTTATATAACTTTCGAAACCAAAATAAAAACCTACAATGGCCAGTTTTAGCTCTTACATAATACATCTTTAATAAATATTGATCAATGGCGACATTTTTGTATATTCTGACAATTACTAAAATATTTAAAACTTACGTTGCCCTTCCGCTGTGTCAGCTGAAATGATGACTGCTTGAAAACACAAACAAAATGCCAAAATAATTCGCAACATTTTACCAACTTTAAAGTACTGTAACTCAAGGATTCTGTTTTGCTTCAAGTTGTAAACGTTGTAACGTCAGGAATCTGTCTGCTACGACTGGAGTTTGTTGATTATTGGCGTCATATTTATAGTAAAATCAGTTACATAACTTCACACCTGCATTCATTAGTCAACCGGCAGGATTGTTTTTTGCCAATAAAACAGTTTATTTGATGACTAAAGCCGTTTTGTCATTTTAATATTCGCCCTATCGCCCGATTTAAATATGTTTTAATTATTATTCAAATGAGTCTCGTTTGTTAATAAACATGTAGAATGGAATGGGGTTTAAAGTCTTACTGTTCTGCTCCGAATGGGCTAATGAAGACGGGCCATGCAGTGTGCTATGAGGAAAATGCCTTCCTGGAAGCGGCACTAAGGCCTACTCTTATATCGAATTCCAACTGCCAGGTGATCTTTTACGTGCCCGCCAATGTATAAACGGGACCTCAGTTTTTCGTACCATCCGAACAACTAGACAGCTGCCCCTGTCAGACTCTCTGCACCACAGACAAAGGGGAGACCACGTCGGAAAATCTTGATGGACTTTCTCGGCCAATGCAGGGATCGAACACACGACCTCCAGACTAGCGAGCCAGTGTCTCACCCACCCATAAGCTACAAAACACAATAAATTATATAAGATTTAGTATAAGATTTAGTTAGAGGGATAAATTGACACACAGACATGTACAGGTGCACTATCATCGAAAAATATCAAATTAGTTGCTGCCATTATTAGAATGATATGAAATAGAATCATTTAATATATCCTGTAAATAACGACGCAAAACAAACCTGAATAGAATTTAGATACAGAGATTAACAGTATACACGTTTACATAGTACGCTGATCGTTTCTAAACAATAATTCTGCTAATGGTCAAGATATATTTCATGTGCAGTAAAACGATATCGTATTTTAGTTCTATCCGATCCGAATTATAAATCTGTGTCATTAACGTAGTACCAGACCCGGTCCGATCTACAGATTGTCAGACACGCTCCGTACAATAGCAGATCTACACTCGGCTTGACTCGGTCCGAGAAACATCAAATTTTCCTGTGCTCGGCAAATAGGTCGCGCTGGCCTTGATCATATCCAGTTTATATATACTAAACAGCAAAATAAAAAACCTGGAACCACACTCTTAGAAATGCCTGGCGCATTTCATCGGCTGTGTTTGGTCACGATACGATGTTAAGTCTCGTCTGAATTTCATCCCAAAGATGTTCAATCGGGTTTAAGTCCGGACTAAGGGCTGACCAGTGCATAACGTTGACACCGTTCTGCTGTAGAAAGTCCCGAGTAACTCTGGTAGTGTGGGCACGGGCGTTGTCATGCTGGAAAACGTTGTTTCGATGACGTCCAAAATGTGGTATGACGTGGGGTCTGAGAGCTTGACGCGTATTCTATGATTTCGGCTGCAATTTGTAATTAATGAACAAAGAAATACATGTACATATCCTACAAGACAACGTGGAAGTAATTAGTAATGGCTGAGTCACAAACGAAAAAATATTAACTGAAAAAACAAAACGTGTAGAGGTGATTAAACCGGCGACTCTCGTTCCATTTTTGGGCAGTGGCTAAATACCACGCTCCAAAATACCCCGCCCGTCCCTGTTGCTTCTATACAAATGTGACGTGTTACGAGATTTTGGTACCACGTACTTTTTAATTATGGTGATTTTACCTTCTTAGAAACTAAAATTGCAAATTACATTAATCGTGTATTCAGTTTCGATGTTTTTGTACTATTTATAGACCATATTTACACTTTTAAGTTTGATATATACTCTTAAAATACATTTGTAATGTTGCTAAATACATGCTCCATTAAGAACTTCCTCTACTTCCTTTTTCAAAGACCCTGGTGGTTTTTGCAACACAATCAGACACCTCAACCGCCCTGGAAGATTTGCGTCGTACGATGTGGTTGACCTGTTTACCAACGTTCCCCGCCAAGAAGCCATTGAAGTCCTCCGCTCCCGAATAAATGCACTAGAGGTACACCTAGAAAGCAGGTTATCAACTGACAGCATCTTGGAATTAGTTCCGATGTGCATTGATTCTACCTATGGGGGACAACATATACAAACAAGTCAACAAGTCTGCGCTAAGAACCTCTCCCATTACCCCAATTTGTTGGCTGCGCCAGGTCGATGATACATTTGTTGTGCTTGAGGAAAATGATGATCCAGTCTCCCTACTAGATCACCTGAACAAACAACATCCCAAAATTAAATTTACTATTGAAACAGAAAAAGACGAGACTACCATTCTTTGATGTACAAGTTATAAATGTTAATAATCAAATGAATACAAAAATATACCGCAAACCGACACACACAAACCAATATATTAAGTACAACTCCGGTCATCCCCACTACATCAAAAGAGCCCTTATATCAACCCTAGCACGCAGATCAATTAATATTTGTGAACGGTACTACAATTGGTTGCCCCGCAGATAGTTCGCGATCTTATATTCCAAGAACTACATACTGGTAAAGTGGGGGGTCATTTCGGACGAGATCGCACGATTGACGTCATCAAGCGAAGATTCTATTGGCCAGGCATGACAAAAAGTATAAAACGATGGTGTCAAATCGTTCAGCTCTGACTGTAGCAGATAAATTAATGACTGAAATATTTTGTCGTTTTGGCTGTCCACAACAGATACACTCAGACCAGGGGCGGGAGTTTGAATCTCAATTATTTACGGCCGTATGTTCAAAACTTGGCGTCAACAAAAGTAGGACAACGCCCTATCACCCACAAAGCGATGGGCTAGTAGAACGTTTTAATCGTACTTTAAAACAGATGTTGACTATATTTTGCTCCGAAAATCCGTCCAACTGGGATGATTATTTACCGTTTGTACTCATGGCATACCGTAGTACGGAACATAAGTCCACCAAATGTACACCTAGTCTGCTAATGCTAGGGCGAGAACTAACATGTCCCATCGATTTAATGTTCGGTACACCTCCAGATCAGTCCGATTTTTGTCAAATTGAATACGTTCATTGGTTAACTTCTGCCATGAAGTCGTCGTATAGTTTTGTTCACGAACAGTTAAGAATATCGGCATCACGTCAAAAAGAGGGATATGATAAGAATCTGAAAGCGCGGGAATTTGAAATAGGGTCTTTTGTGTGGCGGTGGTACCCACCTTCTGCAAATCAAAAATTTGGCTATAAATGGAGAGGACCATATAAAGTTCTAGGGAAACTCTCTACGGTTACTTATGTGATACAAGAATCGCCAAACCATAAAGCAATTTCTACCCACGTAGATAACTTAAAACCATTTGAGGGGTCGGAACTACCGGAAATTTGGAAAAATACCAGTTCATCTGAATTTATCGAAGGAACCGTGAACGGTTTCGCGGATGGGTCAGATATTACTCCTTCCTCAACATTTACTCGAACGCGTAGTGGACGGACCGTTAAACCAAAAGTGATTTTTCACCTTCTTAAAAGAAGTAAATATAATATACCGTATATATATATATATGTATTTTCGCAATAGGCATAAAGCTGGTAGTTTGTTGTTTTGTCTTATGCGAGTGAAATGCGCTGAAATATCATAAACCAAATAGTTAAAAAAAAAATGGGTGGGGTTTGTTAATACTACGGAAAGTTCGTGGTAACATTTTTGTTATGTTTTTACTCTAGTTTGCAGACATAAAATGGAGTTCGAAGTCCAAGTTGATCCTGAGGAACTTTACGAGTTCCAAAACTCTTTAAGAGAACCATTTCCGGAATCGGGCATGGCCTGCAAAGTTCGAGGGTGTAAACAAATACTTTTTACAAAATTAGGAAAGTATCTAGAACATTGGCGTTCAGTTCACGTTAAAACCACAACCCTCTTTGCTTGCCCTGTGTGTCATCGGCGCTCCCGGAAAAGAACTAGGGCCATGAAACACAAACGATTGCATGGTGTGTATGAGTTGAACCTTGAGGAAATAAAATTTCCAAATGTTAATTTTATCGACCCGGAAGATGTCCTCCCTCCACGCCCAGGTAATCTGTGTGAGGAGAAAGAAAGCATGGAAAAAGAACTTCCGTCTGATGATTATATGGTTACACCAACGACTCATCTAACCTAATGGAATGCTCGTGACGTACCTCTTGAACTGTACCAAGCAGGAGAACAGACCATAATGATGGACCAGTCCAGTAAAGAGATTCTCTACGCTCCAACTATCGATGACGAATTCGCGGATTATCCGTATTAAATTTCATGACATTGTCCATTTCGGCAACAGAGAATATTTTTGTATATATTATTGTAATGCATTTGTATTTTTGTTTTTGACAAGTGTTCCTTAAAGAAATGAATACTTTACGTCACACGGTCTTCAGGGTGGGGGAATGTTGTAGTGTCGCCCTTTTTGCTAAATGTATTTCAAACGACTCGCCCAAACTCATCAACTTCTCTACTTGCTTGGCGTATTTGAGCCAATCAACTGTCATGCACGTGCATGCTTCGACTATAAAACTGGGTGCGTATCATACATCGGGGGAGTTTCAGTTAGCAACTCCCTAGGTAAGGTAACCTTATCATATACTATTCAAAAAAAGTAGGGGATATTTGATTTTTAAGTGTTATTAAAGTCACCTAATGAAACTGACGAAGAAACAAATGACAAAATGAAATGAAGTTCACATTCATCGATTTATTCCAAATGATCGTTAGACTAAGTAAGGCACAGACTGACCATTATAAGGGTAAAATGATACCCGGGGTCAAACAGCAAAGTTACCACAGCATCACAACCAAGTCAGTAACGGGTAAATCCTCCTCTGTTTGCCAAACAAGCATTGATCCGACGTGGCATACTCCTAATGAGACGTCTAAGGTCATTTTGGTCCAGATTGTCCCATTCCTGTTGCAACGCAGCAGCAAGTTCTTGGACATTGGCAGAACGTTGTTGACGTTGACGTAACCTCTGTCCAAGCATGTCCCAGACATGCTCGATGGGGGAGAGGTCGGGACTCAGTGCTGGCCAAGGTAATGTGGTGATGTTCTGT